TCACAGTTGAAGTGTACCTCTGGTGCAAATTACTGACCTCTGTCATCATTTTAGCTGGGGGAACTTGCACAATCGGTGGCTGACTAAATACTTTTTTGCCCCACTGTACATATATCTAAATGCTGCTTAGACTGTAACGTATTAAACTTAATACTACAATGATGTAAATGTACAATATAGCCAATCTGCAAAATAAATACAAAGGTATTTCATTTTTGTAACTTACAGGTACTCTCATCAGCTCTTTCTCTCAGTAATTATATCTGATTACTTTTCAACAGTAGTGATGCTATTCTTTCATATTTTGTATTGGATTTTCACCATGTTGATATTAAACCAGTGTTAATTTAGTTTATCAATAATTTTTGTCAGCAAAATTATATTTTGTCAACTAAAACTGGAGGAACTCTGTGTGTGTGTGTGTGTGTGTGTGTGTGTGTGTGTGTGTGTGTGTGTCCTCTGACCTCATTGTTGCCCTGAGTAACAGTGAGGTTGAACCCGAGCCTCGATGTGATGACCGTCTGATGATTCAGCTCCTTAAATGGCCATCTGCTCCGATTGGCTGAGATGTGATACTCCAGGTCTCTTCCAGACAAAGACTATACACAAACAAAACAGAAACTGAGTTCACTGACAGCTGTGTCACAACGCACTGCCATTTAATACATTTTATAAGAAAGAATTAAAAGTTGATTCTCTCAATCATTTAGACTAATATGAATATGGCAACAAATGCTTTTAATTTCCTTTTGGTTTTAACTTTAAACATGGTGAATAAAACAAATGCTTTCAAATACTACTCTCAAAGTTTCACAAATTAAATTGGTTAAAGAGAAAATGGGATTTTCTAAATTTCATTCAGGAATGTAGGCTAAATATATCTAAACCTAATCTACCTTAAAAAAGAATAATATGAATCACTAGTGTGTTTTACTAGTTTGTAGCCACTGTGTGATGGAGGTCTACGGGGCTCAAACTGTGGGACGCTTATATTTTTATTAATTTTCGTACTAGTTTCCCTGTCTGGATTTTTATTTGTTGTGGAAAGCTTTTTTATTTATGTTACTTTACTAGATTAATACTTACTTATTACAGTTATATATATTAACTGTAAAGGTTTAGCATAAAAAAAAATTCTAAGTTGCTTATATTTGACAGCCCTAATTAATCTAAGAAATGATAAGCATTTACTGAAGCGTTGTGTTATTTATTTCACCTGATTTGGAGCAAAGCCGGTGTTATGAGGGACAAACAGCGTGACTTCAGCCTTCCTGTGAGAAAGAAACTTGACAAGTTGACTGCCCTCTGAGGACGTGCCGCTGTACTCCAACAACATCTGCAAAGAGAAAGGACAGTGACTTTTTTCAATTTATAATTTGATTTGATTTGATATACCTTTATTAGTCCCACAAGGGGAAATTTCATAAGGCTGCCGACCTATTGCACGCAATGGCGGTGCCATCTTACCCTCCGACCATACATACATTACACAAAGCATCACGTAGGGAAGACAGGTCAGAGAGGTATAACAATGGAAAATGCACCACATGAGGAAAGATAAGGAGGAAAAAATAACTCCCCCCAGACTGAGCTCCAACAGGGAGATCAGTTTGAGAACAGAAAAAAAAGCACATAGCACATGAAAAAACTCTTAATACACCAAAGAAACACATGACAAGCAACAGGGGTGGGTAAAGGGTGAGAGACAGCCGAATTAGACAGTACATCCGGGCCTGCGTGCGCTGGTCTCCTTGATCCACCGTCAGCATCGGAAGGGAATAAGCATCGAAGGCATTTGGAAAGGGACGGGGGATGAGTGTGTGCATATCAGTGTATATGTATGTGTGTGCGTGTCCAGAGTTCAGCTGAGACAGTGTCCTTCGCCCTGCTAGGCTAAGTAAACAGTCTTCCAGCCAACCCAGGTGGCCTTGCATGGAATGGGAAGGAACAGACTAAACACAGTCGTTATCAGGGTGTTGTTGTTCAGCTCCAGCCTTGAGACCGCAGCTGGTGCCAAAGGGGTATCCGCATAAGTGATGGTGGTTTTTACTTTAGTGCGAACAGCTCATATGAATTTCAAAGCAGTTCTACAGTCCAACTCTGGTCTCTCAATCTCCCGTTGGAGAGCCGCGAGCTTTGCCATACTTGCGTTCTGTGATGTTGTCATTTCTTGTGCTCAAGGAGCCGATTTCTGAGAACTCACGGCAGTGTGCCTCCCCGAGATGTCATCCAATTTGCGCTCAGAGATGTTATTCCGAGCTAGCCCTTCCGAGATGTATCCAGTCTGCAGTCAGAGATCTTATTCTGAGTATTCACAGCAGCCGTAGCCTTTCCAAGATCTTATCCATGCTGCACTCAATGAGCCCATTTTGAGAAACTCACGCCTCTCCCATCGTCCCAATCCCAGCGGGCAACCTCGTGGGTGTTTGAACAGCCGGTTCCGCTTTCTTAATTCTTCGATAAGTCAGGGCCAAGCCAGCTCCGATCAGCCAGAACCCTGTTACCATGGTTCCGAATAGGTAGATATCTTCAGCACTCAGGCTCACCCAAGCCCAAACTTCTCGTTGAGAAATGGGTGTCAATTGCAATTAGGGACCAGTTGATCCAATCCATAATTCCTCTTCATAAGAGGCTAAGCAGGGAAGCTAAGGGAGAGGAGGAGGAGGAGAGGAGAAAAGTGCGACCGCCTTCGTCAAGAGCAAGAGCAGAAAATGGATAATAATAATAATAATGGATTGCATTTATATAGCGCTTTTCTAGGCACCCAAAGCGCTTTACAATTCCACTATTCATTCTCTCTCACATTCACACACTAGTGGAGGCAAGCTACAGTCGTAGCCACAGCTGCCCTGGGG